GCCCTCCGCGCCCGCACCTGCGCCGCACTATGCCGGCCCGCGGCGCTGTGCGCACCTGGGCGCTGCTCGCCCTCTGGCTGCTGAGCGGCCGGGCCCAGGACTTCGGGCCAACGCGCTTCATCTGCACCTCGGTGCCCGTGGACGCCGACATGTGCGCCGCGTCCGTGGCGGCCGGTGGCGCCGAGGAGCTCCGGAGCAACGTGCTGCAGCTCCGCGAGACTGTCCTGCAGCAGAAGGAGACCATCCTGAGCCAGAAGGAAACCATCCGCGAGCTGACCACCAAGCTGGGCCGCTGTGAGAGTCAGAGCACGCTGGACGCGGGCGCCGGCGAGACCCGTGTGACCGGCGGCCGAAAGCAGCCCGGCTCGTCCAAGAACACCATGGGCGACCTGTCCCGGACGCCGGCCGCGGAGACGCTCAGCCAACTCGGGCAAACTTTGCAGTCGCTCAAAACCCGCCTGGAGAACCTCGAGGTCCGCGAGCGCGCGCCGCGGTTTCCCTCCGTAGCCCGCGACCCTTGGCCCTCCCCACCCCCATCCCGACCTGACTGGGCACCCTGCACCCACCCCCACCTGAGCTACTCACCCTGCCCCGCCTGCCTGTCCGGAGCCTGCGGGGGCGGGGGGCTCCCTTTCCTTCCCTGCCCCCTCGCGGCGGCTGCGCGCCCGAGTGCCCTGCCAGGCCGCCCCCGCAGTCGCCCCAGGGGACCGCGCCGTGGGCTCCGGGCTCCAGGAGTAACGGTGTGCTCCCGCCCTTGCACCTGCAGCAGTACAGCCGGCTGAATTCCTCCAGCCAGACTAACAGCCTCAAGGATTTGCTGCAGAACAAGATTGATGACCTGGAGCGGCAGGTGCTATCTCGGGTCAACAGTCTGGAGGAGGGCAAGGGAGGCCCCAAGAATGACACAGAGGAGAGGGTCAAGATCGAGAGCGCCCTGACCTCGCTGCACCAACGCATCAGCGAGCTCGAGAAAGGTAACGGGTGGAGACGGACCCTACCTGCGGCCTGGTTCCCAGCACACCCCACTCTCCAGTCTCTACCTGGCCCGCACCCCCACACTCTGGGCTTCCAGTTCGTGTGCCCTGGCCAGATTGGGGAGCCCTGGGCTCAGGACATCTCAGCCAAAGGAAACGGAGCATTGTCTGGTGTTCTATTCCCTATGCGCGCACACACTCGCCGGATTTTCCGAGTCTGGTTTATTTAATCCCCAATAACTTTGCACCGTAGCTGTCGCGAGTCCGACAAGCCTCCCTGAGTCAGCCTGGTTTTAGTTGGTCCCCATCCCCTGGCAGACAGAGCCGGGGACAAGCTAGTCCTCCCCATCTCAGGCAGGTTTCTCTCGGGATCTCCGAGGGGAGAGGGGAGGCGGGAGTGGGTAGGAAGGGGCTCTGCCGGGAACCTAGACCCGGCGGTTTTCTCTACCGAGTGGCCGGAGCCCGCGCATCTTGCGCGCGTCCGCGGCTCCCTGGTTGCCAACTCTGGGCGGCCCCAGCTCGCCCGGTCACACGGACAAGCTCGCACTGTGCCTGGAAGTCGCAGAAATCAAAAAAGGTTGTAAAAGGGGCGGGGGCGCCCGGCGCCGAGCTGGGCCACGTGACCCTGGTCGAACTGCAAACTGTGCCCTCCGGATTTCCACAGTGCCATCTTAAGGCACATTATGTAACTGAACAACAGATCGAGGAGGGAGGAGGGGAGGGACGGCGGAGGGAGATGCGGGCAAATGAAAAACACCCGGAGCTGACCAGGGTGCTGGTGGGGCCGGTGGGGGGATGGGCCGACACTGTCCTGCCCACCCCCCGACTTCCAGGGGAGACCAGGTAGTGGGTGGTCTGCCTGGAAATCATTTGTCGTTCATATAACCGGTGCTGCGTTCTTTGGCCTGCCCGCACAGCACACGGGGGAACTTACTGTGCTCTGGTTGCCCCTTCTGGTGGCTGTCTGGTGCCTGACCAATGCCAGCTTGCAATGTTTTCCTGGGACGTTTGTAGGACTGGGGTGGGGGTTTCACTGGAGACTCGGGCCAGCAGGCTGTGCTTGCAAGCTGGTGGTTTCCTGTAAGAGCTGGTGGTGCTCTGTGAGGCCCTGGTCCTAGCTTTTCAAGAAACACACAGAAGGCAGGAATGTGGGACATGGACCCTGGGGAGCTGGTGGCTCTCCCATGGCAGGGGGTGGGTGGTGGTGGATTCTGGAAAGAGCCGAGGCCAGGGCTATGTTCTAACATAACCTAAATCAGAGAGGAAAGTGACAACCACTCACCCACAGTCGGCCCAAGTAGCTTGGGGGTAGGGATCCAAGAGAAGAACCCAGAACAGAGGGTTCTGAGCATGCCACCAATGTGGAATTAGGTGGGGCCTGAAGAGGCTGTTCTGAGGGGAGCTGGCCTCTATCTTCGTGACCTCCTTCACTGCAGACACGTCTTCATGTACTGATGGCATGTCCATCCCTCCCCACCTCTGCCCAGCCCAGGCATCCTCGGCCTCCACAGGGGTGGTCATCCAGAGGCCTCCTCTCTGCTCTCTCAGCGGCTAGCCCTGTGCCCTGGGGTCAAGGGTTTGACCTTTCTGAGTTGCCCTTTAGGCATCTATCAAATGCAGACCATTTGGGCTTCATCTGGGGGGCTTTCTCTTGGGAAAGGGGCAGATATTAAGACTCCACCCCTACTCTCACCCCCAGGTCAGAAGGACAACCGGCCTGGGGACAAGTTCCAGCTCACATTCCCTCTGCGGACCAACTACATGTACGCTAAGGTGAAGAAGAGCCTGCCAGAGATGTACGCCTTCACTGTGTGCATGTGGCTCAAGTCCAGTGCCGCCCCAGGCGTGGGCACCCCCTTCTCCTATGCAGTGCCTGGCCAGGCCAATGAGCTCGTGCTCATCGAGTGGGGCAACAACCCCATGGAGATCCTCATCAATGACAAGGTAGAGCCCCCTCTGTCAGGGCCTGGTGGGAGCAGAGGCACCGGACCCCAGTGTGTGCAGGTGTGGGCAGAGAACTCGGTATGATTGGTCAGGCAGGACAGAAGGAGGAGGAAACCAGGAGGCATGCATGCAAAGGGTCTGCTAGAACCTTCCCAGGCAGAGGCCTCCCAGGAGACAGCGTCTGTGGTGCAGTCTGAGGCTATGGGTGTGGAGGAAGATGGCGAAAGCTCCTGGTCCCGCCCACAAAGAAACATTCAGACTCCTCCTCCACCAGCTGCCCTGGGCCTGGCAGGCAGAGATGCTCCAAGGAGGTAAAGGGCTTTAGTTCAAAGCTATCCATTGTAGCGCCCCCCCCCTCCCCCCCGTGGGACGACAGCAAAGGAAGCCCCTTCTTGCTCTTCTTGCTCTAGTCATTGCTCTCCATCCATGAGCAGGGTCGCCTGTCTGCTCACAACCAGGCTGGGATTGGATGCCAGGCCCCGATCACTTTCTAGCCCTGTGGTGGGCTTTTCCCCTCTGCCTCATGCTCTCCTCCTGAAGAACTGGGGTGGAGGGTGGGTGGAGGGGGTTGGTGAGAATCCCTGCTGGGAGTTGGCAAGTGCCACCTCCCCAGTGGCACCTCTCAGATTCCCTGCAGAGCTGGGCTGATGGTGGACTCAGAGAGCCTCCCAGTTAGAAACAAGGTGCTGGAAGAGAGAGGCGGACTACAGGGAAGAGACCCCTGAGACAGCAGTCTGGCTCTCCCTGTCTTTCTTCCTGAGGGTCTTGGTTGACCAGGAGCTGGGGAGCAAGGTGGGAGGAGGGTGAGCAGGAAGACTGTGGTTCCAGCTCAATCTTGGGGACACCTGAACAAAGCACATCATTTCTTCTGTGGCTCCCAGATGCAGATCATGAAGTCCCGAGGGACCAGGGCTTTGAGCATTTCGTAATGGTTCTTGACAATGATATAAACCATCAGTAGGCAGAGTAACAATTGGAGCACTATACCATGCCCATACATGTGTGTTCCCTTCCTAGGTGGCCAAGCTGCCCTTCGTGATCAATGATGGCAAGTGGCATCACATCTGTGTCACCTGGACCACCCGGGATGGGGTGTGGGAAGCGTACCAAGATGGGACCCAGGGCGGCAGCGGCGAGAACCTGGCACCCTACCACCCCATCAAGCCTCAGGGTGTGCTGGTGCTGGGCCAGGAGCAGGTACCTGCAAGCCGAGGGGGACGGGGAAAGGAGGGAACCGGAGATGGAAAGATTGACCCTCAGATCAGCAGATCGCATGGTTCAGAGCCCCTGCTCTGGTGGGCTCCCTTACAGCCTTTAGCCTCCCAGTCCCCACAGCAGCTCCTGCATTGGCTCAGGAAGCCCGCGCTGCTTGCAGGCTGGATACTTGATCTCCTGACTGTTTGGTCTTCCATCAAGTACCCAAGAGAGAAGTGAAGGGGTCCGCAATCCTGGGCCATCTCTGCTGGGTGGGTAGATCTGGCAGAAGATGACTTCAGAGTTCTGGGTTGGAAGCAGGGAGGAGAGGACAGGAAACAGGAAGGAGAGGACAGGGAGCCCTGCTCCCTTGGGGTGTCATGACCCCAGCAGACACCTGACTCTGTGGTTGGAAAATGGGCACAGGCGAGGTCCTGGGAGACCAGACTTCAGGTTAGAGGGACAGGATACCTGTCCTTTCCCTGGGGAGAGACAGAGACCAGAGACGGGACAAATGGTCCTCAGTGTGGATCTGAGAACCCCTGAGTGGAGACAGAGAGCCCCAGACATGCACTCAAGGCACAGGGTCCCCCAGCCAACCAGAACTTCCTCTCAGAGCTAAATCAAAGCCTAAATCACTCCACCCATCCCTTATCCTCTGCTTTTCTCCAAAGGATACCTTGGGTGGTGGGTTCGATGCCACCCAAGCGTTCGTGGGTGAGCTGGCCCATTTCAACATCTGGGACCGCAAGCTGACCCCGGGAGAGGTGTACAACCTGGCTACATGCAGCAGTAAGGCCCTTTCAGGCAACGTCATCGCCTGGGCCGAGTCCCACATTGAGATCTTCGGTGGAGCTACCAAGTGGACATTCGAAGCCTGTCGCCAGATCAACTGAGGGCTCTGGGCCAGGCTGAGCCCCCACCTCTCGGGACCCAGCCCTGTGCCCACCTCCCCTGCTTGTGCCGCGAAGATCCATCGTCTCTCCTCCTCTCCTGTCCCCCTGCAGGAATGAATCAAGGCCATCGTCCCTGCACACGCACACATGTGCACACACACGCAAGCCTGGTTTGCCCTACGCGCTCAAACACACACACACACACACACACACACACACACGGAGCAGTCCCAGCTGGCATCTGACCCTGAGGAAAGCCTAGGTCCCCCAGACCGGGTCACGGCATCCCCTGTTCCCAGCTGAAGTAGGAAGCACCGGCATATTGAACAAAGCAGAAGTAGGTGAAAGGGAGTGTGTGTGTGTGTGTGTGTGTGAGTGTGTGTGTGAGTGTGTGTGTGTGAGTGTGTGTGTGTGAGAGTGTGTGTGTGAGTGTGTGTGTGTGAGAGTGTGTGTGTGGGTGTGTGTGTGGGTGTGTGTGTGTCCAGCCGGGAGGAGACTTAGAACGAGGTACTTTCTTGCCTTCCTTCTTCGGCTTTGGGAAATGGCACCATCGGTTGAACACCTGTTTGCTGCCTGCTTGCCTTGGGGCTGGCACCATGTCCTGAGAACACACGTTTGTCTTCGTTTGCAGACCTTTCTGAGGACGGTCTTCCTGTTGCTAGAGTAGACATCTGAGGTCTGTGTCTGTTAGGGGTCGGAAGCCTTCTCTTTACTTCTCAAGTGGTTTTCACTTTGCATTAGAAATGAACTCTCCCTGCAGAGACTGAGGCTGCACTGCTGTGTGAGGTGGACGAGCCTGCTGACCGACATGGCTCATGCTGACCTAGGGATCTGGGTGCCTGTTCTCGTGCCCCCACCCCTGCTGCTGCATCTGAGGACAGCTTAGGGACTGGGGAGGTGGGGGGGGGTGGGCTCTGCCCATTTGGCTCTGGACTGTCTCCTCACACACACCTCTTTTAGCTGCTGTGCTGGCTGCCTCCAGAGGAGCCCCCCCACCGCAGCCCCAGGCAGCCATGGCCCCAGGGCCTGTCTCTTCAGCCGCTGGCAGGTGGAGACCAGAGACTTCAGTGGGTCAGCTGCAGAGGGGACCTTTCAGACTAGGAGACCTCTGTTCTGATTAAGACCCAGCCTTGTGGTCACTAGGATATAAACCCAACCAGCTGATGGGAACATTCTCCCCAGGGTAATTCTGAGAGCCATATTCCTCCTGGCCAGCCAGGCCCAGGTGAGCTGATTCCACTAGTGCTCCCAGCGGGCAGGCCTCTGGGACACCCCCCCTCCCCCAAGAGGCCAGTTTCTGCACCCACTCCCTCATCTCACAGGGCTCCTGTTCCTCAGTGGTCAGAGATACTGGCTCCTGCCAGTTTCCAGGGCCTTTTGTCCCCCTCCCCTGCTCCCATGAAAAACAGCCATGCATATTGCCTTCTAGGTCTCTTGAGGAGGGGTCGGAAGTGTGTGTGCATTTGTGTGTGCTTGTGCTGAGCGAGGAGACGACAGCCAGGGCAGTGTGAGCTCATGGTTTTGCTTAGCACCCAGGGACCAGTCACCCTGTGGGCACCCTGGTTTCTGCTACCTGAAGTCTAATTAGCAAACGGCTGGCAAGTCTTTCAAGAAAGTCAGCTGTGTTGCCTGGTTCACCTGCAGCTGCCGGTGTTTCTCCAGAGCAGCAGGTGTCCCTGTCTTCTGTTCCCTGCGGGGGCACCTGTCTCCCTAAACACAGGTCCATCTTGCCTCGGAAACCCAGTGCATCTGTGTGTGTGTCTGTGTAGGTGTCTGTGTTGTTGTCCTCGTGGGTGTCTGCACGGTGCCCAGTCGCTGTTCTGCAATGCGTTGCTCTCCTTCCGAAGGGCCAGAGCAGGCGTGGTTACGTGTTGTTCAACAGCGGTTTCTTCTTAGATAATTGTGCTTTGCCCGAGCCTGCTGGGCTGAGGGCTCCTCGGATCTGCGGGGGTCTTCTCTGTTTGCATGTTCCTCGGGGTGGCGTGTTCCTTGCTCCTCTGGTCCAATGTGTGTCCCCTTGCCCGCATGGACTTCCACAGATCTGTGTTGCGTGCTGAGTGCCATCTGTGTTCTGTGACCACCTGTGTAGCTGCTGACACCTGGGTCATCAAGCCAAGGGTGGTGGAGGAGGTCAAGAGGTAGCTCAACCTTCCTGTCCCTCCACGAGCCCCCAAACGCACCCAGTATTTTTAACATGTAGGTTGAGAACCAGCCTGAATGCTACCTGTAGTTGGGAGACAGCAAGAGCTTGGAATCACCCTTGACCAGAAGAGTCCCACCATTCACTTCAGCCACCCTGGGGCTGTTACATAGGCGGCAAGGCCGTGTGCTTTCTCTTTGACACCTCCCACCAGCCCCTGCCCTGTCTACAGGACCCCAGACTGCCTCCAGCCCTACAGGGCACGATGGGAGCTGTTCATTCAGGACCACAAGCCATCCTTTGCCCTAACAGAGAAGGGCAGAGCCAACCCCAATGCTTACGCCTCTGTCCTTCAGCCTCCTTGCCCCTCACCGAGGTACCTATGGTGTCAGGGACAGATGGCTGACCTATAGCCCCCTCCCCATTCCTAACGAGTCTGTGCCAAGGCCCTGAGCCCCTCACTGTGTTGATACTTAGCACATGACTGGCCCCAAGAAAGGTAGATGACACAGCCACAATGGAATCCATATAGTCCCCATTTCCTCATTAATCCGGTTGATGTTCCCTCTTGCACTGACTAATACATGCCTCTCTCAGGTAATGCCATTTTATAAAATAAGAAGATAAAAGCACTGTTGAGGCAGTGTTTGTTTTAGCCTAGCTGGTGTCCAACAGCTCCTGGGTGTCCGAGTTTGGGGAGCCACTGACAGACTCTCCGGGCCCTTGGGAGCTTAGATCCCACTTAAATCTTAAGCCTTCTTGCTTTTGATAACACAGTATTATTTCTCTTACTGTAGAAGAAAAAGTTTATTACCAAACAAGAGTATTTTTATGAAAGAAAAGGACAAATCTATAAATTAATTCAACCTATATCTCCCTTGAAAATGCTTTCGGGACTCACCAAAACGTAGGACTGAAAGCACATATTTTGGAAGAAAGAGATACATTTTGTATGCTTTCTTTTCCTTTTGTAGACTCCCAGTTTATTTTCTAAGACTGCAATGATCACTTTGTCACCAGCCCTGGGACCTGAGACCAAGGGGGTGTCTTGTGGGCGGTGAAGGGGAGGGGCGAGTCTGGCATGAGGTTCACAGAATCATTCCAAAATGCTCCAAGGAGGGGCCACCTGTTCTCTAAGGCACGTTGGGGACCAGGATGTAACACTGGCAATCAATGGTGGACTCTTTGTCTTGGAGCGGACCTAAGTTAAATGGAAGGAGTTGAACTCCAATTGGAGTATGTTTTCAACCCTGATGGATGAAGTTAGGGCTACATGTTGTTACATTTAAGAGGATTGAATCTTTTTGTAATCTATGGCAACCAAAAAAAAAAAAAAAAAATGTGGCTTGAGTGTTTCATCTCTTCAAACACAGCGTGTAAATTTATTCAACTAATGATAGGAAATGTATTGCTTTTGTGCACAGTGACTTCAGTGCGATTTGTTGAAGGGGAACAAGTCATTGAGGAGAAAAAACAGCCCAATACTTAGAGCCCCAATTTTGTCTTATTTGCCAAAAAAAAAAAAAAAAAAAGCAGCCCCCTTAAGGTTGGTGTTGTTACCTTGTATATACTGTATTGTATGGAAGCGATTTAATGTATCCTACTTTTTCATCCTTTGCTAACCAAAGCTGGGCATTTTTCATATGATCTGCAGCCATTTGGGTATCAAATGGGTCAAAACCATGGGACCCGCCACCTCCCATCGGCAATTCTGGAAATGCACTATTTCTACTGATAATCTTGCTTTCTTTCTTTTTTTGTTTTCATTTTCTTGCTGAAACGACATGAATTGTTGAGTTTATTTTTACACAGTAAACAGTGAAGAAAGTCTGTTCTCTGTGGCATGTCTTTGCTCCTCTGCAGTTTGCACAGGGTCATCCCAACCTGGGCGCCACCCCTGCCTCACCTTTCCTACCTGCAGGGCCCAAGTGCACCCACGGGGTCCCTTCAACAGTCCCACAACATGAGGAACCCTGGGAGGTGGGCACATTCCCAGGGGCAGTGTCTGCAGAGAGGCAGAGGGTGAAGTCCTTCTCCAGTGGTTTTTCTGTGCTGGAGGCACGTTAAGCCCAGGGGTGTCCAGAGGCCTTCTCTCCCCTCATCTGTAGTCTACTCACTCCTGAGGGGTCGCCTAAGCCAAGCACAGCTGGGCACCTATTCCTAAACCTCCCTCTTCTACTACATCCCCGCCATGGGCCCTTCAGCAACACTGGTACCCTGACTCTTCTGATGCTGTCTGGTCCCTTCCTGTGCCCAGGTGTGAGGGGACCCCCAAACCCACAGATTGATCAGAAAGGTGGCTTGGGAACCTGAGGAGGTGGGAAGAATTAATTTTCTTGGTCCCTCGTGGACCTGAGCTGACTCCAGATATGCATAGGGCTTGCAAATTGCTCCCTTCCAAGGGACAAAATGACCAGACCCACACTTGCTAATGTCAGGCAACCTCAGACACCTACAGCCCAAGATTATGGCTCATGGAGTCCACATGACTCACCAGATGGATTCATTTCCTACACGCACACTCTCTCTCTCTCTCTCACACACACACACACTCACGTGCTGGTTAGCAGGAAGGACTGGCCACTCTGGCTTCTTATTGGTACTATCAGAGTTCACACGTGCTCTTGAGCCTGCTGCCCAGGGTCTCCTTGGCCTGTACTCAAGCTGAGGTTCCATGGCATGGGAGTGAGTCACCGATTGCCTAGGGGGTGTATGGAAGGAAGTTTGATCTCACAGCAAGGCAGGAAGGGCAGAGGAAGGGAAAGAGGGGAGGGAGAAAAAAGAGAATGATCCTTATCGGGACATATCTGGTGGGGAGAGAGGTGTCCCATGAGACCTGCTGGTGGGTGGGGTCTCCTGTGGGGTGCATGCCCCTGGCCAGGTCCAGAACTATGTCCAATTTCTGTTGTTCTAGCTGACATCTCCTCCTTGCCTCCCACTCAAGAAGGTGCATGCTTACTTCTGTAATCAATCATGCTCACATTTCTAATTTCTGTGTCAAAACTCATTCAGAAACCTGGGCATTTCAACTATGATTAG